GAGAAGGACGAGGCGTGATATTAGTCACGTGACCTCGCTGACGCAACAGTATATTTTATCATGAAGCAGCAAAGATTATCAAGCCTTGTAAGCCATTTCATGCTTTAATAATAAACATTTTACTTGTGTGATTTAGTATTTACACTTAACATCTGAAATTACATTAACTTGAAATAGGAAATAAGCATATAGTTAAAATGTAATTATGTTAATAATGTGTATAATTCAACAATCTTTGTTAGTTAATTTGTATATAAATTAACTACAAAAACACTAAAGTGTACCAATGTTAAATAATCTGGTTCTATCCCTTGCAGTGATTAGTTATGAAACTTAAATCTAGTATCAATAATGCAAAATCATACATCTCAAATTACAGCATAGTACCTCTTGTTTATAGTTCCTTTTGTATGAATTTTCAAAGCATTATTGCTATTGTGAGATGTAATACAACTACTTGGATGGGAGTTCATGGCATAATGTAATTTAAATAGCAGGAAATAGGTGTTAGGATATAAACACACAAAAACAGATGATCAATGTACCTTTTAAGTTGTGCATGTAATTTTTATTGAATGGATATGTTAGAAACAGAACAAAATACTAGTGTAATTAATGATTTGAGTCACTTAATTACTACAGTTTTTAACTTTACATTGTAGAAGTATTAAGGAGTAGATTTGATATAGTTATTCAAATTCATTAGTGTACTGGCCTTGTGAGTTGTCTGAGTGGTGGAATGAAAAGGTTGTCAATACATACTTGAATATGAGAGGTAATAGTTTTGGAAATTTGGATACAGGTATCGTCATAAGCAAAACGTTTTGATTAGAGTTATTAAAGGTTACAAAATAGTTTGCTTGATGCAGTGATATAATTATTGTAGTTTGAATTCTTTTTAAGTTTTTATTAGATATTTGGAAGTTTTGAAGGTTTAATAAGTGTTTGATGTCAGTATTTTCCAATAAAAACTGGTTGTGTTCTAAAATATTTGCTGCATATCATAAACGAGTGTTTTCTCTATAGCAAACTTGTCAAATACAGGAAAAAAGCAAAATAGAATCATTACATTCTTTAGCTTATTAGAAAATTCCAGTTTTAACAGTTTGATAATTAGTTCTTTTATACCTTTGTTTATGATTGCTTCATGGCAAATGTTGAAGAGCCCAGTTGCAACCCTGGTTACCTTCAAGGTGAACGTCTAGCAATGAAGTGTAATGTTCTCATAAATACATACTGCATTAACCTTTGATTGTATTGCAAGAATTGAGGCACAAAACATTAATATATATATATATATATATATAATATAATATGGCAGTGTAAACATTATAATTCACACAAGATTATTAAAAATTGTTAATTTAAAAAGGGGGAATAGGGATTTTGAAAAAAAAATACAAAAGCAAGATAAGCAGCTTAAAGTGAAAATCCAAACACAGAAAAAAGTAAACAAACAAGCTTAAGGTTTAAGACCGTGTTGACATTATTTCCTCCCTATTTTGACTTCTAAATATTACAGCTCTTACACATAGTGTCAAAATAGGGGTTTTTAGCTTGAAGAAATTGTTTGTTTACTTTTCATGATGTTGAATATTTACATTAAGCTACCTATCTTGTTTCTTTTCTTTTCTCTCTTTTTTTTTTTTTTTAAGATCCCTATTCCCCCTTTTAAAATTAAAAATGTTTAATAATCTTATGTGAATTATAATGTTTACATTGTAATATTATTTTACATATATTAATGTTTTGTGCCATCATCATAAATCTGTATAATAGCAATATTGTCTTATTTGAAATAGTTTAGTTTAATGAAATACGTAGTTGATGTATGATGCTCTCTCAAGAAACAGAGACAACCTTTGGATTGGCTTAATGCAGATTAAATGGCTATTACTCCTGATATCATTGATAGTGGTACTGTATGTATGATCACTATGATGCATGGTGATCAACATACCGCATGTTATGTATATTCTTGTAAAATATATATAGCTAGTATATTTATACTCCGTTGGGGTTTTTTTTTACCTTAATCATTAAGAAATTTTTTATTCCCCTGGTGTAAGTGCTGTCTTGAACTTGAGACTTTATAGGTTTTCTTCAAAAATAAAACCTTGATAATTTGTATTGACCATTTATTTTAAGGGGAAAATGTTTGTATGTATGTGTGCATGGCATGGGCCGTGGCAGCCAGATTGGAGATTGTCTTATGAAAATGCCTTGCTGCAGTTCCTAAATTGTTACATAATAATGGAGGCAAAATTTAAATTGTTTCGGCCAGTCACAAACCATGAAGTTGTGAGGAATCTTTGTTGGTAGTTAGGTTATTTTTATACAAAAAAAAAGTTATCAACTTTATTTTTAATTTTCAAACAAAAGAAATATAACTGTAAAAGTATTTTATAACTTGTACCATGAAGTTTTTGCTTTACATTGTACCAGGTGCAACATATACTTGAGCCATGCATATTCCAAGGGCTTTTGTTTTATTAAACTGTTTAACTACCCTAGCTAGTCACATAATGTAAACTTGTATTTTTTTTCGATGAATTAACAAATAAAGTGTGCTGCTGCTGTAATTTTGAAAATAAATATTATCCTCATGTTTGTTTCATGCACTTTACATTATGGATAATGTAACCCAGTATCTTGTTTATTGTGTATGATACGTTAACCAAGAATTTATCACTGATACTAATTAAAATAACTATTCTGTACTTATTATTACTTAATTATAAGAAGATTACAGAAATGTGTACTATATTGCAACATTGTCACAAAAGCATTTTTCAGACTTGATTTTGTTGAAAATAATTTACTAAAAGTAACTGGAGGGCCAATTATGGTCTAATGGCAAGTGTGCTGGGCTGTAAATTGAAGGATTTATAATCCGTGTCCTACTGTCACAAAATTACACTCCACGCTTTGAATGTGTGTATACATTTCACTATTTGATCAGAATAGTCCAAAAGTTGGAAGTGGGTGCTGTTGACTAGTTGCCCTCCCTCTAGCCTGTTGTTTCAAAATTGGGGACAGCTAGGGCAAATATTTCTTGTGTAACTTCTTGTGAATATTAAAAACAAATCATGCACTGGAATGCAAAGAAGAAAATGAGTTTATTAAAGAATTTTCTCAAGGAACGTCACTGATTAAAGTAGCTTTTCACACAAAGAAGGATCTTTTGTGAATGTAGATTTTCATAATATAACATGTTAATACTTTTTCAGTTGTGTACTTGAGAGTAATTTGTTTTAAGAGAAAAATGTAACTTATCCTGGTTCATTATTAATAGTTTTAAAAATGGGATTGAGAAGATTCTTAAATAGACAAGGAAAATTTTGGCTTGGGAGTTTTAAGGACTTGTAAAATTTGGAGTTAATATTGAGTGCTGATCTGATGTATATCTTTCTGTTTTGTCTGTAATTTGCATAAATATCATGCATCTAATAACTTTGTTTTCTCTCACTCTCTCTAAGCCACACTCCAGGTTGGGAATGTTCTTCCAGTTGGAACAATGCCAGAAGGCACAATTGTGTGTAACTTAGAAGAAAAAACTGGAGATCGTGGTCGACTAGCACGTTGTTCTGGAAACTACGCAACTGTCATATCCCACAACCCTGACACCAAGAAAACAAGAGTGAAACTTCCCTCTGGATCTAAGAAGGTGTTACCATCAGCCAACAGGGCCATGGTTGGTTAGTGATGTTATCAGTTATCTGTGTCATTTCGAACAAAGAGTAGAGCTATGAAAATTGATTTATTAATAAGAATTGAATGATTGTTGTTTAAAGTGTTCTTTTTATTACTTTATCCAGGGTTTGTACGGTCTTTCAAATTCATGGTAAATTAATAGCAAACTTTTCAAGCCTGAAATGTCTGGTTTTTCAATAAAGTTAAATTTAGAATGTTGTACATATCTAGTGATAGGCATAGATAATTAGGTACTTCAATAATTGCCTGTGGGAAAGTAACATTGGTTAGATTTGCATGGGTTATCAAATTGTAGGGTTAGTAAAATATGGTTTGACAAGCTGAATGCCCCTCATATGATGGGAAGAAATGATTAATTGTTCTTTTCAAATTATATCTAAATAAATGTTTTATGAACATGTTTTCTAAAAATTAATTATAATCTAGTAACAATATACATATGGAGAATGACTATCTTATTTCTAGTATTCCACGAAAACTTTTTTTTTATGTATATTTGGTCATCTCCTTTAAGTATTGCTTGATTAACATTTTCATTTCTGTTTATTTTTAAGTTGTGTTCAAATATTCTTCTTGATAAATGGCCAAGATATTGCCATAACAGACAGACAAAGCTTTGTCTTTATATAGTAAATTATGGTGTCACTTTGAGCCCAGACTAAACTAACTAAAATTATACTTATTGTTTCAGTAGCAGATTGTCAGTTTTTATCATTTCATTGAAATAATGCTAGTAAGAAAAATATATCAAACCACGTGTACCTATTTATTTTATTTACTGAAATAGTCATAGTCCAAGTCAGGAATGAGGCCAGAACAGATCATTAAATGGTCCAGTTTGCAACAGAGAACATTTGGTGTCTTAACTTTTGTAAAAAGTGAATTGCACATAACATGCTATGTTGTAATTTCTGTTCTTTTATCAAATATATCATTCAGTATTTTGATTAGATTCACATATATTATTCACACACACACACACACACACACACACACACACACACACACACACACACGGCATTACTAAATTATACAAATTTAGTAACTTGAGTGAATACTATAAATCAGGCAGTTTGAAACTTTATGTCGTGAGGCTAATAAGTTTGAGTATGTTGATGAAATAACAAATCAGCTCATACTTCAGTCTTGTGAAACTATGGGATACTATAAATATTGATTGTTATTCACCACAGTCAATTTTAATCTTACGAACTGCAAGTAGAAACTTTGTTTCAATTTGCTGATTCTTACATAAAATCCTTGTAACAAGTTTCAAATCACAACTATGATCAATACCTTTGTAAATGAGCTATCAAAGGTACGTAACTCAAGCATCTTTGATACTTTGAGCATCTCTCCACAACATTACATCTTCAAAACCATGTGGAAGTTCATCCAGTAAGTAAAATCCTAGAAAATAAAAGGAACTGACAAAGAAAGGTGAGAAAAAAGTGAATTTGATACAAACAATTGCAAAAAGGAATTCAATCTGAAGTAGCAACAGAATTCCATTCTGGTTGTTAAATAACAAAATGCTCCTAATATGTACAACCACCATCTGGTATGCTGGATGACCATTTCTTATTGACACTGTCAATATATAGTCCAAGTACCATCCTCGTGTTTCATGCATTGTAAAATTACCAATTTTACGTTGATAACATACTGCTAGTTTTAGTGAGTTGCTGAGTAGCAATGATGTTTCTGTGAAACAGAAGAAAAAAAATCTTGTTGATCTTGTTATGAGGCTGTTTCTGAATTGCTCAACAACAGAATGTACTGAATCATTTTACCTTGTAATCATAATGCTGTTTTAAACCATTGTTTTCCAAAATTGTGTTTTAGGAATTATCTCAGGGGGAGGAAGAATTGACAAACCTATTCTAAAAGCAGGCCGTGCTTATCACAAGTATAAAGCCAAGAGGAACTCCTGGCCTAAAGTTCGTGGTGTTGCAATGAATGTAAGTTGTGCTGGTAGAAATGTAATTTATGCTTACATCTAAAATGTACTTCACTGAAGATTTTAATCAGCAGATAAATAATTAATGCAATCCCATAAATCTCGCATCTTTAACACTTGTATTACCAATAAATTATGTGTGATCAACATGATTTATCTATATATTAAATGTGTGATCAGTGTCATTTATCAATGCTTTTTAATCTTCTAAGTAAAATATATATGTGATGTATAGTAAATAACCCTTATGACTCACTTTTAATTTTTTCTGCTGAAACAGAATGCCCAGATGTTAGGGTAGGCAAATGACTACAATATTATGTTAGTTCTAACTTATAAAACACGCATGTATTTTTTTTTTTAATCCATTCAAATTAATATGTAGAAATGAATCGGTAAATTGGCTGGTTTAAAAAAACATTTTACAAGAGCATTACTTCAGGAATAAGAACTTGGTATTGCCATGAAATAATGGATTTGTCAGCTGGGGCAGAAGAATTTGATAATTAATAATAATGATGGAAGGCATTTTCGTTTTGCTTTATTAGCAGTCTTTAACACTTATTAATCTCTGCAGCCTGTAGAACATCCTCATGGAGGTGGTAATCATCAGCATATTGGTAAAGCATCAACAGTCAGGAGAGACACTTCTGCAGGTCGTAAAGTAAGTATTCTAGACTCAATACCTTGTTTCATAAGTTTTAGTTTTGTATTTTTTATTCTCAACATTAAAACATTCTGACAGTATTATTACAGTAGCTGTGATGATTTCACAAACAGAAAACTTATGTTGAAGTTTTAAGAGGCTGTTTCTGAGCTACTGTGAAATTTAACTTTGGGTACTTGTAGGCAACTGGTTAGGAAAAATTTAAGAGTCCTTGAGTAACCAACATTGTACATTTGTAATTATTGTTAGAATAGTTTGTGATTTTTATTTAATTATGGCTGTAAAAAAAGATATAATTTTGACCTTAGAAGATTTGGAATATATTACTAAATGAATGTTGAAACATTTGATTGTAATAATTTGCATAATCTATTGATGACATCACTATAACTACTTGTTTATATGGGATTAAAAACCATTTTATTTTAGAAGTAATCCATATAAATAAAATAAAACATTTATATGCAATTTTAAAATGTTATATAAAACAGTTATCATGTTTTGTTTTAAATAGAAATCAAAAAACGACTATGTACTCGTATATCTAGATACATTAAACCTGCTTTGCAAGAGCATTCTATTTCATTTAGCCAAGTAAAATAATTGTAGTTGATTTAAGCAGAACTTCTTTTATATTAAGTCACCTTTCCAAGTAAGGATTTGTAATATAAAATTGGTGATTAATTATACATACCTAATAAACAGCAGAACAGAGTAACACTAACAGTTTAATTTAAAAATAAACATGGGCATTCATCTTTAACAAAACATTACAATAAATAATGTTATCACTTTATTTTTAACAACATAGTTGACTGGTTAAACATATGCTTTTGGGGGATAATGTAGAGTTACAGTGGTACTCCTTTTTCAGTGTGACAATTATTAGCATGTACTTTTTTGTTTCAAACTTGTTCTACTATTATTATTCTATTAAATCTTGTACACTAGAAATTCAGTACATTTTATTGAAACAAAGCAACTGCTAAAAGTAACCAACCCCCTGTGATTAATCATAAAGGTCTGCCCCATTGCACAGGAGCTTCTACATATAACATTTTGGGTTTTTGTTGTTGTTTTTTGATGCACCTGAACAACTTTTGAATGTATAGAATTATTTTTAAATTCTTGGTTTGCAAACAAACATTTGAACAGTGTCAGAATTTAAAATATATATCCTTCTTTTTGCCAGTTGTCAAAATAAAAAGGCTCTTACTTATACTTCTTAATATTATAAATATATACTATGTTGTTATTGGGCTTAGGATTCTTCTACTGTAGGTGTCTGTGACTTGTTAGGGATAAATTCAATGATAAATAGCACAGACTTCACTTGATTTCAAAATATTATATATATTATTGTATATATATAATCGGATGTTGGTGTATCTTGGTGACAGATTTTCTTGTAGGCAGATTTTGTTAAACAAGACCGATGTCTGTAGGTTTACTTTCTTCTTAGAATTATTCTCAAGAAGTCGATAAGCCGTCTTAACGTTGTTAAAACAACGGGTAAAAGTTGTAGCTAGTGATGAGTTGGCCGACGTGTTTTTAATGCATTCTGCATCCATTATCAAGGCTGAATGTTGTGTGAATTGTGATTATTGTTGGTGGATATTTATAGGTTGGTTTGTGGTGTTTTTTTGGCGGCTGTCCAGGTATCGTTGAAGTGTCTTGTCGAATGTGGTATTACTATATCCATTATTGATGAATGTTTGTCGGAGTGTACGAATTCTGTTGTGAAATAGATTCCAATCTGAGGATATTTTGTAGGTACGGTGGATGAGGGCGTGGATGGTTCCACTTTTGTATCTTTGAGGGCATTCACTTTAAGCGTTGAGGTAGATTCCCTGGCTAGTGGGTTTTTGATAGACAGATGTGGCGTATGTGCTGTTGTTGGCGTCGATATGTACATCCAGAAAATTGATGGTTTTGTCAGTGGCTATTTCGTGGGTGAATTTAAGCACAGAGTTGTCCTGTAGGTTTTGTCGGAGCTTCATTAATTCAGCAGTGTCCTTGGCAACGATGAAGCAGTCGTCGACGTATCTGCAGTACAGTGCGGGGTGGTGGTCCTGCAGCACTTTGTTTTCTATGTGACACATGCAAAAATTGGCGAAAGTTACTCCAAGAGGAGAGCCCATGGCAACTCCGTCGACTTGCTGGTATAGCGAACCATTGATATGTTGAAAAGGTGACTTCGTAGTACAGGCGAGTAGAAGTTCATGCATTATTTCTTCAGGTATTTTGGGTGGAGACATGGTCGGGTGTGTGTAAACGTTGTCGCAGATTATGTCTATCGTATCCTGGACTGGTACATTGGTAAATAATGATTCGACGTCCAAGGAGGCGAGTAGTCCCTGTGGATTTGTGGCATGTAGTAAGTGGAGGAAGTTACTACAAGACAGACGAACGGATTCTAAAGGATATCGTTTACAAAAATACTACACCAAAGAAACAGAACATAAAGCTGCAACTCAATATCTACTACAAGTCTACCACAACGTCGGACCTTATCGTGAAAAACAGCCCTGCTAAAAAGACAACAGATCTACAGCAAGTGAACGTCATTTACGAGTAAAAGTGTAATAAAGGAGACTGCGAGCTCCTGGCAAACGCCTCCTACATCGGAATGACTACCACAACCCTGTCAAGACGCCTAACAATGCACCTACAAAATGGAGCCATCAAAGAACATTGTGCCCGCATCCACAACCAAAAACTCACACGTCAGGACCTAGTACAAAACACCAAAGTAAACCGCCGACTTAACGACTTCACAACTCTTCAAATACACGAAGCAATAAAAATCCTACAGCAAACTCCCATAATCAACAAACAATCGACAGGAATAGCACGCACACTGCTACTTCTTGGCGAGAAACCCCCAAGCCACAATACAACACTCCACCAATTAACGCCTTCCACGAGCTAGATACCACCACCTGCTTACCCATACAACTCCACTGAACAACTCAAAGTCTGCTATAAAAACCAATTCTCCACTGTATACAAGACAGACGAACGGATTCTAAAGGATATCGTTTACAAAAATACTACAGCAAAGAAACAGAACACAAAACTGCAACTCACATCTACTACAAGTCTACCACAACGTCGGACCTTATTTCTGCATCCATTATCAAGGCTGAATGTTGTGTGAATTGTGATTACTGTTGGTGGATATTTATAGGTATGGGTAAGCAGGTGGTGGTATCTAGCTCGTGGAAGGCGTTAATTGGTGGAGTGTTGTATTGTGGCTTGGGGGTTTCTCGCCAAGAAGTAGCAGTGTGCGTGCTGTTCCTGTTGATTGTTTGTTGATTATGGGAGTTTGCTGTAGGATTTTTATTGCTTCGTGAATTTGAAGAGTTGTGAAGTCGTTAAATCGGCAGTTTACTTTGGTGTTTTGTACTAGGTCCTGACGTGTGAGTTTTTGGTTGTGGATGCTGGCACAGTGTTATTTGATGGCTCCATTTTGTAGGTGCATTGTTAGGCGTCTTAACAGGGTTGTGGTAGTCATTTCGATGTAGGAGGCGTTTGCCAGGAGCTCGCAGTCTCCTTTATTACACTTGTACTCGTAAATGACGTTCACTTGCTGTAGATCTGTTGTCTTTTTAGCAGGGCTGTTTTTCACGCGCATTCAAAACGCGTCGGCCAATTCATCACTATCTACAACTTTTACCCGTTGTTCTAACAACGTTAAGACAGCTTATCGACTTCTTGAGAAGAATTCTAAGAAGAAAGTAAACCTACAGACATCGGTCTTGTTTAACAAAATCTGCTTACAAAGAAAATCTGTAACCAAAGTACACCTACTCTTTATATTTTCATTAATTTCATAATGAAGTTAATTTTATGTTATTTTAAGAAAATATTAGATACTAGGCAGATATTTTTGTTTGTTTTTTATTTATTGTGGTTTAATCTAAATTTCTGAGCATAATAATGATTAAATCAGTTCTTGAAAATCATATTTGTTGTATTGTATATTTAGTCATGTTGAAAATAAAAAAATGATATACTATAAATAAAATCAATTCAAGCTTGTTTTTAAAGTTTAGTTTTGAAAAGTTTAATGTATGATTCAGGTGTCATTTTAAATGTTATTAGCTTTTGGTAAAGTGCTGTAGAAATTATTTTGAGCAAATTCAGTATAAGTTATTTGCACATCGCTGAAATAAAGTAAATAAAGCACATCTAAATGTATGAAGATAAACATTTAAGGTGAGAGGATTTAGAGAAAGTGCTATTTTAATTTCTGATTTTAGTGTTATTTTGGTTGGTTATAGGTTTTCAATTTTTTTTAACAAGATACTCTTTTTTTCAAATTTCAGTGGTTAATGACTGAAAATCATAACCAAACTACATATACAACTTGAGGTCCAGATAGTTTTGCCAAAAAATGAACTTTATACAATGATAAAAAAAAAACTATTTGCAAGCACAGAAAGGATCAAGAGCACTTGCAAACAGTTGTATGCTGCTTTTGTGAATAAAGGTACTTGGTGATCACTTGCTTGATTTGCTAACTAGCTTTACATCATGTAAAAAGATTATCACTATAGTTCTTTGTTCAAATTAGGTAGAGATGAATAGTTGTTGAGTACTTGTCTAACTTGTAGAAAGATTCATAATTATTAACTTCTGAAGAAACTTAAGCTAATATTTAAACTAAAACTATAGTGAGCTAATATACACTAATAAACAAACATCTATTTATAACATTCTGAGTCACAGATTCTCCACACACACATTGCTGAATCTCTGTTAATAGAATATAACCATGCCAACAAAAGCTACCCACATTGTTTTAGTCATTGTAAGCAAGAAGATTCAGTTGAAATTTGAAGGTCCATAGCAAAAGTCTAAAAATAGGAATGTCAGTGATACCTTTGTCTTACTTAATAGCTTTGTCATTCATGCTTGCCTTGTAGTTGTGTATATTTTGGAAAGAATGTGATTGATGGTATAAAACATTCTGGCTGAATTCATTTTATATA